ATTTCCTAAGCAATCATCTAGAACCCACCAGAATGACTACTAGGCTGACTTAGTTATTATGAGGTTTGGCAGATTTGCTTAATTTAAGACCATGATAAATTCATTCATAACTGTGTGACTTTATTCTCTTAGCTTAGAGAATGTGTGATTTTCATTAGACGGAATTTATACACCATGTGACTCCAAAGCCATGAATGCAAGTGTTATGGCCGGTGGGGTGCAAAATTGTTCGGCAATTTAAAAAGATTTTTAAAGCCGAAGCTACCCTTTCTTCAAGTACAAATGGGAAGAAGGCGTAATATGCTACCAAACCAGTGGAAGAAATAATATGTTGTGCATATTCTACATAAAATATATTTGAATCTATAGGGGCAGTGAAAGTCGACGAGAAAAATGCATGCTACTTAAGTGGCCAGATTTTACATTGTATGCTTTTTGCAGGTGACGAAAAAAAAAACTGGCTTAAAATTCGGAAGCTTGGCGTGATTAAAACATCTTGGGATTGGACTGCACGATCACCAATATCACAATCGTATGTAAGTTATTTTTTCGAAACAAAAAAGCATTTATGAATGTCGGTCTACACTTAATGAGACGGGGAATCTACCGCAGGCGCAATGGAGTAAGGGACATATAGCATACGTCTAAAAATGTCAAGTGAATTTACGGTAACAAAAATAACTCAGACCCGGCACAGTTAACCTTACTCATAGTATGAACTATTAAGACTCCGGTTTTGGCAAAGGGCAAAAAAAGGGGGGGCTACCGTGTTTAGAGGGCACAAAGTATTACAGGCACAAAGATACAATAGAAATCACATTTCATGAAACAGGTAAATCGGCGTATACATGCTCTATCGACGATGGGAAAGTCACTGCAGCGGAACAGCGGCCAAGGAAGATGAAATCAACCACCTCTGGCAGCTTTTCAAGACCAACCAATATCCGTTCACACTCCTTGAGAGACGCCGAATGCAAAGGAGAAAAGCAACTAACCCGAGTCTTTTTTTGGGGAAGTCGCACGGCTGCCGAAACCTTGACGGGATTCCTTACGTCACTCGGTATAAGAATCACGCACATGACTGTGTAGACGTCACGCGTCACATGATGACTCCGGAGAACCCCCTATTCTGGCAGTCAATCATGCGCGTCTACCGATTGCAATTCGGTTGTGCAGGAGACAGCTGGAAAAGATGGCTGTCTAGAAGGAAGGGGACAGTGTGACAGATAAACCTTAGGTCGCAGACTGCAGTCCATGCCTTCCAAATGGGTCATGTGTTTAACTGCAAAGGGTTCAAGATCGTAGAGGCAGGCGACGGCTAGGCACAAAGACAATTGTAGGAGGCATTATTGTCCATCGACAATAAAGTCAACTGCCAGATCGATCTGTCTAAGTCTAATTTACATCTCCTTCGTAATCTGTCTAAAGGCAAACAAGACGGATCACTGTCTGGCCGGTCAACGGCCGGCACGGACTGTCTGTACGGTAATTAGGAGACCTGTGATCCAACAGACGGAGCGACACCAGGACTAGTGATTCGCACGGTTTCTCTCTATCTGTACACCAAGGGAGCGCCTAGCGGCGTACAGTCAGCAAACAACTTAATGGGGCGCGAATTAAGTCCTCCCTATACAGCAAACTGAGCAGTGGGTACCCAAGTCTCCGAAGATTAGTAGGCAAATTTCGATAGTTGGTCCGACTGTCTAAATGTGCAGCTATCCACTTCGCTGGTAACTGTAGACGTTAACCTAAAACGCTCGAAAGTAATGCGGACCCATCGAATTTGAAAGGAAGGCAATAAATTAAGTAGCCTTTTGGACTTACCCATTGCTACGTGTTCGGGAAGTGTGGAGCCCCGACAGTCTGATAAATTCTTACTAGCTCCTGCGGCAACGGCTAGCAGAGCGCCTCGTGAAAGGACATAAGCAGCACGATCAGACTTGTCCGTTTGGGTATAATTGGGCTGTAAATATGCAAACAAGAAGTACACATTTTAGTAAGACTAGTATGTTAAGAATCTTACAAAAGAAAACACACGAAGAGGCAACTTTCTAGCATCTGCGTACCTGAAACACATGTCCCATCATGATCAGATCATCAGGGTCAAAAGCACGCAGTAGAAACCGGAGATTTTCCGGAATGACGTAGGTATCATCCTCCGCCTTTATATAGTAGTCGAAGTAGGCAAGATTCTGCCGGTAAGCAAAGAGCAGGCCGGTGATAACTTTTTGAAAGTGCGTCTCTTTGTTATCCTCGACAACGGTTTCTAAAAAAAAGTAGAAAGTTTTGATTAGTGTGACTTTGGCAGAAACGGTGTGCTGAGGAAGAAATATGACGGGGGTTTGCTGCCTTCATGGCGATAAGGATTGGTCCAGTTCCAGCTACGCTTGAGTATGACCTATGTGAGCTTCAGGCACATCAATAAGAAAACTTTAACTAGGTCACTACTTCCACTAAAAGATGATAAGACAGAAAGAACGCAAGTACAAGGACCAGGAGAATGCAAGGAGCGAAAATGCACTAACTCATCTAGTCTGTGTGTAAGCCAAAGCCAGCGTAACAAATTTTCACCGATTTTCTATTCAGCTATAAGGAGCATTACAGGTAATCACGGGCCGCTGGCAGAAAGTCCAAATAGCAAATGCCGTTCTAAACTGTTGACTGCTTACAGAGAAAAACTGCGAACAATGCTTTATTCTAACTTCCGTAAGCCGAAGTCTTAACTCGCTGACATGACTTTAAATAAGCAAACATACTGTTATCAAGACCCATGCATACTGTGCATCTGCTGGACTGGTCAGTCACAAAATGCGAATATCTGTACCTCGTCTCAGGCTTCGACTATCCATCTCAGTAAGGATTTCTGGTAAAAAAAACAAAAACAAACTGAACTGTGACTAACTGATGGCTGGTAAGCTTGAATTATCCTCGTTGCTCAGAAAGAGGAAGCGTTCGACACGACGAGTCCATGTGGATTTGATATAGGGAGCTTTTTTAGCTGCGTTCTTAGAGTTTGTCAAAATGAAGGTGAATAGTCGGATTTTCTTCCGTGTTTCTTCAGCAAGAACCGCATCTCCTGTAGAGAGAAGTAAAAACGATGAGCAAACTAAGAGTGAGTAGAATAAGTGATTAGCATGAACAAGTCCCACTGATGGACTAAAACTCGGTGCTTACGCAGATGGTCAGTAAGGGGAGCAGAATATAAAAAAGGCGATTGAGGAGGAGAAATAGAACGAGGATAAGAAGTGTAAGACCGTATGAGTGAGAATAACGGGGGAGGATGAGGAACAATAGGTGTGATCTACCATGATGAGGCACATGACAAAACATGGTAGACTTGTTTCCTTGTCGGCATAAAAACTCGAATACTTTCTAGTCAAGGGAGCTATAAAAGAATGGAACAGAGTGTTTGGCAGATATTGTATTGAGGCAGTGCACCCATATCCACAGATCGGCTGGTTGAAGGTCTTTTTACAAACAGATCGTCATTTCAGATCAAATGGTGTTAAAATCCACTCTATGATATATTCGAAAGAAACCGCATTGGACAGAACTGAAACAGCAGGGAATCCGAATGTTTGTTTTCCGCTGTAGGGTTGAATACATAACCCATTGCTTTCCTTTATCATGGCAGCTTTTGTACGGCACGCATGCGTGATCCAATTAATAGCTTTTAGCTTTACACAACGCTCAGATGTTTGCCTGAAAATGCAAAGTTCATGGTCCACAGCACATTTACGGTAATCCGTCTAACGGAAACACCAATAAAGGCAGTGTAGGATGAGTTACGAGTATGACCTTTAGGTTGCAAAGGAAAAAGAGGCCGGAATAATTTGATATAGACAAACATGTAAACTAGTATCTCTAAAAATTGTGGTCTAAATTCTCCAGAAAATTTATGAGAGACCCTACCGGTTTTCAAAAGCATTTTAAGGTTGACTTGCCTCCATGATGTCCACTTTCTTCATCATGCATCAGAGGTAGAAAAGACACACCTTCGCCTAGCTTGGGTGTGATTTGATCAAAACGAGCTTGAGAGGCTGACGAATGCGTATATAATATAATCCTATTTATGGCTAGAAAAAGCAGAAATCCAGACAAAAAGGCGACCAGTTGGCGTACTCGAACACTTGCAATCATTGAAGGTCTGCAAAGATTAAAAGAATTCCAACTATTTAAATGCAGGATTACAAGTGTAGGATTAACAGTAAATGTCAACGAAAAGTGTTGCTTCTTTATTCTTTCTTAGCAGTTCATTTTTGCATTCTACACAGGGTACCACTAACTTTGTCGGCACTTCTTTACTGGAGATCATCCGACGTATAGGCTACAACTGGCTGAAAAAAAAGATTTTAAAGAGGACTGTGGCATCGCTTTGAAATGTAAAAGGATCGCGACAGGTTACCTTCGAAGAACGCATGAACGGCGCCTTGTAAGAGCACCTTTCCCCATAGGCAGTTTAATGCACAATGTATGTAAGAAACCAAGTTGCAAAGTGAGTTAGGCCTAGTCATGTTTCGGTGCGAAAATACATCCAAGTACTAAAACTATGACCTGCTTTATAGACAGAATCTAAAAGGGCTTCTAGAGTCGCTGGGAAACACTCCAGTACGATCACGTTATATGTTATTGGAAGCAAAGTTTAAGCTTAGTCGGAGAGGCTACTGATTTACTACTATTGGGAAAAAAAGAAACTTCGCTATAAACGTGAGAGTCTAAAAGGAGTTAAAATCCTAAAGGGAGATTGGCAGACTAAACGAACTGTTTGCTAGTCAACCGTTTCCTATTCTTCTAGCCCCTCTTTTTATTTTTCCTCTGCTGGAGGAATATAAAGCGTCTCATTGGCCAATGAAGCAGATTGGCACATGTTGGCGCCGATATAGGCTCATGCAATTGAAATTTTATCTTAAGCCCCTGTGGGTCCAATGGTCCCGCAAATGACATTCTGCTATCACCGAATATCTTCTGTCCTGTGTCCCTGACTACAGTGGAGAAGCATTTTAAAAAGATCCGTGGATCGACAGCTGCCGGGCCGAATGGTGTCTCGCAACTCCTCTGTAAATGCTGTTCTTCTAAGACAGAGCCTGTTTAAGCACGCCTTATCAGCATGTCCTTTATGGAGATAGAGATGCCCGACGTAGAGTAAGAGTCCCTCCCTTCCCCACCAAGGCTTTCCATCAATTTGTATGCTCCGCTGCACCTCTGAGGCTCACTGAAAACGTTGCCTTAGACGCCATCATGCTCTCCCCGTCTATTTTCGTCAACCCCTTACAATTTGCATACAGGCGTCGTACCTTGGATGCAGTTTCCCTTGTGGTTCACTCTACTCTAAAGGAACTGCAGAAAGATTGCCAACCGAAAACATGTGCCTTTATTGACTACGCCTTCGCCTTTAAAACGACATCTCCGACTCCACTACTGAGAAGGATAATCACTTTTAATCAATTGCAGCGTACTGTCCCTAATAAGAGTGCGGGTTACAACCCACCGATCTGAAACCTCATAACTCTGCTGCGGCTACTGGCCACACACCTTAAGCAAAGGCCCTCCACCACGTCAGCCGCCACATCCGGTCGGCCGACAGGCCATTTAAGCGTACTTGACACGTTTGTGATCAAGCCTGGATATGTCAGGCATCATGTCTCCGATCATACCTCCTGGATGCCTAACGATCTGCAAG